TATATCATTTTTACTTGATGTTTCTTGATCAGCTGGGCCTGATAACCCTAAATCTGTAATCATTGTCTCAGATAAATATAGAAAATATAAAATATTACCACTGTGAAGATCACTATGTATAAGTTTTTCTTGATGAAGTATGTTTAAACCTGAGATAATATTATAAAGTTTTTTAATTTTATCATTCCATCCTTTACATCTTACATAAATTGATTTTAAATATTTTTTAAAGTCTCCTTCAACTGCATATCTCATTACAAGAACATATTCTTTTGTATTTGGATCTTGTGAAATGCCATAAATATTAACAATACCCTTGTGATAAGGCCCTATAAATTTAATGTGGTTTTGAAGCTTTATGAAAATAAATAAAAAATTAATTTATTATTTAAAAACCATTAATTAATTTAATTGTCAATTAATTATATCAAATTATTCACCTCCTTTAAAAACTCATCAGAAATATTTTGAGAGTTTTTAACCTTTTTTAATGCCACATCACCACTACAACAATAATATCTTCTATTATTACCAATATATCTAGGACCATCTGACCAATAACACTTGTACACAGTTGCAAAACCACCTTCACCTATTATTTCTTTGACTGTGAGTTGGTCATAAGGAATCCATTCAAGGTAATGATAACTATCAAATCCTTTTGCTTCAAGCTGTGTATTTCTGATTATTTCATCTAATTTTTCATTACCACTGCTAGCCCAACTTTGAGCCAACAATTTGGGATCACATGATTGACACCACTGGTAATTAGTATTATATCTTGCACAAACAAAACATGTTCCATATTCTTCTTTTCTTTCGTTAAACCTCTTAGTGTTATCTTATTATTCATTATAAAAAAATTAAAAACAAGGTAGAATTAATTTTCAATATAATAAAAATAGGCATTCATTTAAAAGTTATAAAAAAGATAAATTTATAAATTATTTTACCTTCAATTGTTATTATAAATGTAAAAAATAAATCTATTTAATTAGATAATGTGTTGTAAAAGTTATTTTATAATATAATATTTACCAGCTGGTTATTATGAAAAAATAAAGAATATTTAATTAGATGATGTTATAAAAATTTATTTTGTGTTGTAAAAGTTACTTATATGCTAGTTATTATGTTATTATAAAGAAAATAAATTTATTAATTAATTGATGTTTTAATAAAAATTATTTTGTGTTGTAAAAGTTAATTTTATAATATGATACTTACTCCCTGGTTATTATACAAAAGATTTATTAGATGATGTTTTAATAAAATTTATTTTTGTGTTAATTTATAATATACTACTTACCAGCTGGTTATTATAAATAAATAAAAATAAACTTATTAATTAGGTATAAAAATTATAAAAGTTGATTTATAATACAATCTAATACTTACCAGCTGGTTGGTTATTATAAAACAATAAAAAATAATTTATTTAGTTGTTATAAAAATTAATTTATAATATAATACTTACAATCTGATTATTATAAAGAAATAAAAAAAACAAATTATTTAATTAGAAGATGTTTATTTTGTGTTGTAAAAGTTAAATTATAATATAATACTTACAATCTGGTTATTATAAAGAAATAAAAAAACAAATTATTTAATTAAAAGATGTTTATTTTGTGTTTTAAAAGTTAAATTATAATATAATACTTTACCCACTGGTTATTATAAAGAAATAAAAAAAACAAATTATTTAATTAGAAGATGTTTATTTTGTGTTGTAAAAGTTAAATTATAAT